AAACAATGGATGGAAACTAATCAAGGGGTGAAGCAGCCTAGAACTAAGGAGAAATTTTCCAGTAGTGAGGACAATTAAGAAGAGACGGGATAGCCACTTGGCTGGAATGGTGTAGGGTCTTCTGCAAGGAGTTGGATTAGGAGACCTTCAAGGTCCTATTCTGTTACCTGTCAACTTCTCCTGTGACAGCAGCCTATTCTGTAGTGAAATTCTACATTCTATGAGATGCTTAGTTGTCCTGAGAGATGCTGTGCCATTGTGGAAGCATATAGAAATGTACAGTGCATTCAGAAAGTGTTCAGACTCCTTACACTTTAGTTAATTTTGTAGTGCTGCAGCCTGATTCTGTAGTTGTTGAAATTCATCTTTTCTCATTAATCTACATTCAGTACCCCATAATGACAAAGTAATTTTTTTTAAGAATTTAAAAATGTATTAAAAAGAAAAAAAATGAAATATCACATTGGCATAAGTATTCAGACCCTTTGCAGCAACAGGTGGAATTTAGCTCAGGTGCCTCTCATTTCATTGCTGAAATATTTCTACCTCTTGATTGGAGCTGACCTGTGGTAAATCAAATGGATTGGACATGATTTGGAAAGGCACACCCCTCCCTATAGAAGGCTTTATTGCTGACAATGCATACTGTAGCACAGCAAAAGCCATGAGATCAAAGGGACTACCTGCAGAGCTCAGAGACAGGATTATTGCAAGGCACAGATCTGAGGAAGGCTGCAATAAAATTGTTGCTACACTAAAGGTTTCTAAGAGCACTGCAGCCTCTGTAATTCTCCAATAGAAGTTTGGCACAATCAGGATGTTTCCAAGAGCCAGTTGCCCAGTCAAACTGAGCAATCATGGGAGAAGGGCCTTAGTGAGTTGACCAAGAACCCAAATGGTCACTGTGACTCAGCTGCAGAGATCCTGTGTGGAGATGGGGCAGACCTGAAAATGGCTGCCCACCGACGGTTGCCATCCAGCCTGACTGAGCTTGAGAGGATTTGCAAGGAAGAATGGCAGAAAATCCCCCAATCCAGGTGTGCAAAACTTGTTGCATCCTACCCAAAAAGTCTCGAGGCTGTAATTGCTGCCAAAGGTGCTTCAACAAAGTACTGAGTGAAGGGCCTGAATACTTATGCCAATGTGATATTTCAGGGTTGTTGTTTTTTGTTTTTGTTTTAGTAAATTTACAGACATTTCTAAAATTCTGTTTTCACTTTGTCATAATGGGGTACTAAGTGTAGATTAGTGACAGGGAAAAGTGAATCTCAACAACTGTAGAATCAGGCTACAGCATAACAAAATTGACAAAAGTGAAGGGTGTCTGAATACTTTCTGAATGCGCTGTATGTGTATGGAGTCTTACTAGTACAGAAGGAATAGAAAACATAAATACCAAAGATGATAAAGATCTCCCAGGCAGTGACAGAAGAAATGTGGCACAGAATTTCTAGATTAAGTCTGAGGAATATAAAAGGTAGGTAAAATGATTTAGAGAGCCTGAGTAACGAAGATGATGTTTACAAGAGACTTCAAATTAAATCCCTGGCACACTGACTACTATAGGATTGTAAAGGCGGATCAGTTTTAGGTTCTGCTAGAAATTAAATGTGTCTATTTTCTAGATAAACCAAGAGAATCAAGAAAACCAATACTGAAGACATGGCTTTCCCTATCATATGTGTGTGCGTGCGTGTGTGTGTGTGTGTGTCTATTTTCAGGATAGCAACCTCACAGAGCTGGAAAATCCTGTCCTTCTTGTTTGCTATCCAAGAGATCAACAAAGATCCCCATATCTTACCCAACCTCACCCTGGGCTACAACATTCATGACAATTATTTTGATACCAGAACTACATCAGAAGGTTTGGTGGATCTGCTTTCTCCTGGGCTGGCTGATGTTCCAAACTACAAGTGTGGAGCAAGACAGAATAACCTCTTAGCTATAATTGAAGGGACAGAAACTGACATCTCCATCCAGATTTCATCCATGTCAGCCAACTACAAAATCCCTCAGGTGAGAAAGTCTCTTCTTTAATTTCACTGATAAGATTTATAATGGGGGGGGGGGGGGGGGTTTCTAATTAGCTGGAATCTAGCTAGTTGGCATTAATGGGTACAATTCCAGTGTTTTGTTTGCACTCCAAAATAAGTGTTTTGTTTAATAAGCACAATCTGAATAAAATCACAGATGAGATGATAGAAATGAAAATTCTATAAATTCAAAAGTTTTTATCCTATTCTGTTCTAAGATGATATGACAGATACATAAGCTTTTAATCTGGTGATCACAACTCATTAATGGAGGATCCAGCAAAATATGGCATAAGGAGAGCACTGTGGGACCTCAAAGATTCACATTCCTCAAACGCTTGAATAATTGCAGAGGCTTTTGGGTGTCAAGTGGCTTGAAAACAGTAACAGTCATTAATATAAATAGGACAACCTGTGCTGAGCAGAATACTTTAGACCAGGGGTGTCAAATTCGCGTTGTCATGTCGTCGTCATGTGACGTATTGCAATTTCCTCCCCTTCGCTAAACTGGAGTGAGCGTGGCCAGTGCATGATGCATTCCGCCCATGGGCCGCGAGTTTGACACCCCTGCTTTAGACCATCTAAAATAACATTCAGTATAACAGGAGTTTGGAAGCAAAAGACTAGCAAGTCCTGTCCTGGAGCTAAACCAATCACTAATTCCTTCTTCTCTTTACCAGGTCAGTTACTCTTTTGTTGCGCATATTCAGAGTGATAAAACCCAGTTCCCCTTTTTCTACACCATAGTCCCCAAAGAAGGAATCCAATACCTGGGGATTCTCAAAATACTTCTGCACTTCCAATGGACATCAGTTGGTCTCTTTGCAAGAGACACTGAAAACGGGAACCATTTCATAAGGATATTGGTGCCAATGCTGTCCAAGAATGGGATCTGTGTTATTTTCTCACAAACCTTTTCGGGAGTGAATAGAGAAGTTATGGATATCAATGCAAATAGCAATTCTGCCTCAGTGTGGAAGTGGAAAGAAGTGAATGTGTTTATTTATTTTTCAGACCCTGGATTCTTTATGACTGGGATATGGGCAATAGTCAACTTAATTGAAATCTCCCCATTGTACATAAAATCACATGTTGCAGAATCGACTGTCTCCACAGGGAAGATACTTGTCACTGCAGCTTTATGGGACCTCACATTTGACTTGAAATATAACATCGTATCCTATAAAAACATTCACGGTTTCTTTTCTTTCCTTACCCAGAAAAAGAAAAAGATAAAACATGATTTCCTCCCTCTTTTCATTTCCCTACACCGTTTTGTGTATATAGCATTTCCTTGCTCATACTTCAAGGCTGCCCCATCGGTGAAAGGCTGGAAAAGATGCACTGAGAATGAGGCAGTGGGGACCCTGCCCCAAGACGAGATTGAAAAAACAGTGTCTCTAGACACCTCTCGTGTTTACCACACTGTCTGGGCCCTGGCACGGGCCTTAGATGTGGCTTATTCTTCCCAGTTCAAGAGGAGGAAAGTGAAAGGTGGAGGAGGGACATCCATATTGCAAATTCTGCAACCGTGGCAGGTATTTCCTTCCGAATCACAGGGATTCCCACTCAATATGTGCAACACAAAAGCAATTTGAGAATTGTCAGAAACCCAGAAAGTGTTTCTTCTAATGGGGAGGATGTTTATTTATTGACTTCTCTAAATACAATCTATCACATAGGGCTTATGGCAATCTAGAGTGTTCCAGATAATTATATTTAAATTTCCATGACAGACAGTAGACATACATTTATTACCCTAAATAAAAATTCTGTCTTACGTCATGTCTACCATTATTAGCATTCATTTGCCTTGGGGTTTTAGACAATCTGAAGCGACTTCTTAAAGGCCAGAAGGTTAACTACCATCTCTATATGGAAGAATATGATTTAAGAAATGAATTCAGAATTGAGTTCAGAAATGGGGAGAATGTAAGAATGAGTTCATTGTGCCCAGTGGTGAGATTCAAATTTTTTTACTACCGGTTCTGTGGGCATGGCTTGGTGGACGTGGCTTGGTGGACGTGGCAGGGGAAGGATGCTGCAAAATCTCCATTCCCACCCCACTCCTGGAGGAAGGTTACTGCAAAATCCCATTCCCTCCCCACCCACTAACCTGCTTTCCAGCTTCATTCTCCTGTGCAGGGCAACCAAAGAAGACCCAACCAGGAGCTGGGACTCAGGAGGCAGAGTTACCTAGTTGGGTAATGAACTATCTGCAAGCAAACAACCAAGTTCAAAAAGCATTAAGGACCCCTCAAATATACATACAGCTAGTCCTCACTTAATGATGGTTCAAATTAATGATGACCTCAGCAAGGATGTTTCATGTTCCATGAAGCACTTCCCATTGTCATCAACTTTTGCACCCCACCTGGTCACAAACCATCTGGGTGTTTGGCAACCTATTTGTACTTACAACCTGTTGCCACACACCTCAAGATCATGTGATTCCCATTTGCAAACTTCTCTACCTGCTATCCCAGAAAGTCAATGGGGAAGCCAGGAGAGAATGTTGCAAGCTGCTGCCAGCTGCCAAGAGGACTCCATTTGGTGACTGGCTAAAAGAGCTCCCTGCCAAAATCAAGAAAATACTTTTCACCTTGAGCTCCATGCCAGGACACCTGCACATATTACCTGTGATATTCTGTTCCCTTAAGGGCCCATGAGAGTGCTAATCAGCTCCAACCAGGAGCGGTAGGATCATGGTTGTTGAGCCTAACAGTCACATAACGTCTTCCTTAATGACCACTTCCCTCAACAACTGAGATTCCAGCCCCAACTGTAGTCATTATGTGAGGACTTCCTGTACTTATCATCTATAAATAAGATAAATAAAATGTGATTTGGGGGGTTGTGGGAGTACTAAACACGAAATTCATTGTCCATCTTTACTAAACACAAACCTTTTCTTTGCTGTTCCAGCTGCACCCTTTCTTGCAAGATTCTCAATTTCACAACACTTCCATGGATGGAGTGCATTTGGATGAGAATGGTGAACTAACAGCTGATCTGGACATTGTGAACTGGGTGAAATTTCCTAATCGTTCTTTCATCAATGTACAATTTGGAAGCATAGGAAGGCAGGGTTCCTCGGAGCCCCAATTCAACATCGATGAAGAGGCCATGGTGTGGCTCAAATGGCTCAACCAGGTGGGGAAGAGAAGTCATTCCCTTTGCTTTCTCCTACCATGTAATTATTGTAAGGCTTTGTCCAAAGTTCTCTAGATCTTCTGATCTCTTCTCAAGTTTGCTGCCCAGTTGGCCATTTCAGGTACCATACAATGCGTTGTATTTCATGAATAAGGCAGTTTCCAACATTTGAACTGGGAAAGTAAAACACATTTCTAGAAGTATTGGTTTATTTATATATTTGTTTGTTTATCATTAACATTGTGAAACTACCCACCAGGAATAGCTCTCTGCACAGCATTTATGCATGTGAAAATATACTAGCAACAGAAAATATAATATCTAAAATCAAAATATTTCGATAAAGAGCCTCTTTTTGAGGGAGATATGCAGTTAAGAAATATGAAATATAAACAAACAAACAGCAGTCAATTAGCAGTATTACACAAAGAAGTGAGAACTAGAATAATAACCCTTGTAAGAGAAGAGCAATGACTGCTAGAGATAGTCCTCATTAAGTGACTATAATTGGGACCAATAATGCTGGTAGTTAAGCAGAAGTGGAATCTGGCTGTGAAACTTGCAAAAGGCGACCACATGACTAGAAGACATTGCAATGGTTGTAAATACAAGAATAGGTCGTAAATGTACTTTTTCAGCACCATGTTCACTTGGAACAGTTGCTAAATGGAACAGTCACCTCAATCTTGTATTCCCATACCTGCTAAAATGTCAATGTAAACTATCTGGGAAAACCAACTTTTGAACAGACTTGCTATGCTGGAAATGATGCAGAGTGAAACACCACATGCCATTTACAGTTCTGGGAAATTCATGCTTTCATTACATTTGCTTTAGAAGGCTGAATATTTATAATCCTGTGTCACTCAAACAAATATGTAGCATAGCTACAGGACAGAAAGTGGAGGAGGAGTAATCTGAGGGATCATCAACCACTGTTTCGTTTGCCTTGGTTTAATGCTACTTTTAGGATTTACCTCACTCCAAATCTACTGAACATCTCAAGCTTTGGGTAATTTCCACCTCTGCCTCTGCTTTCCATTATTAGATCAGGGGTCTCCAAACTTGACAGCTTTAAGAGTTGTGAACTTCAATTTTCAGAATTCCTCAGCTACCTATGCTGAGGGAGGTAGGAACTCTGGGAGTTGAAGTTCACAACTCTTAAAGTTGCCAAGTTTGGAGACCTCTGCATTAGGTAACCAGTTGCTCTGGTTTTTCTTCTCAGATCATGTAAATATTTCACTTGTTACTAAATATATCCGTAGAGAGGAACATTTGAGTTTATTTTATTTTATTTGTCAATCGCTTACAAGATAATAGATATAAGTATAAACATGAGTAAGAATACAGGAAATAGGTACAAATAAATGGGGACAATAGGACAGGGATGGTAGGAACCAGAGGTGGTATTCAGCGGGTTCTGACCAGTTCTGGAGAACCGGTAGCGGAAATTTTGAGTAATTTGGAGAACCGGTAGCGAAAATTTTGAGTAGCTTGGAATACCACCTCTGACTGGCCCCACTCCCACCTCTTCTCTGCCTCTCAAGTCCCAGCTGATCAGATGGGTCTTCTTTTGTTGCCCTGCACAGGAGAACGGAGCTGGAAAGCAGGTTATTGGGGTGGGGAGGAGGATTTTGCACTAATCTTTCCCCTGGAATGAGGAGGGAATGGGGTTTTTTCAATATTCTTCCTCTGCCATGCCCACCAAGCCACACCCACTAAGCTACGCCCACAGAACCGGTAGTAAAAATATTTGAATTCCACCACTGGTAAGCACGATGGTGCACTTATGGCACGCCCCTTACAGACCTCTTAGGAATGGGGTGAGGTCAATAGTGGATAGTTTGAGGTTAAAGGAGTGAGGGTTAGAGGATGTAACAACAGATTAGTTACATTAGTTTGTAAAATTAGTGTGTAACTAATTTTTTGAGGCTCTTATTGTAATCTGATGAGAGGCAGGAAGCATGTCTTCTCTGTGTCACCCCCTGCCCCCTGGAAAACTTCTCTGGTTGAAGTTTGGCAGTCCCTTTGAGGGTTGGCTTTTCCTCCAAGCACTGTGAGGTGACTAGAAAATTGTATATTAGAATGGATTGGTGCCCGGATTTTATTATTTTTTAAAGTTTTAATATTTTAGTCAGTTGAGTTTTCAGTTTTAAATGATTTTATGTGTCTCTTAATTTTGGATGAGAGCCTCTCAGAATTGGTTGAAAGATGGGCAGTTATATGATCGTATTAAATAAATAGATGGACATTTTGCTTCTCATTTAAGAAGAGTCTTCAGTTCTGACTGAATAGGGGAAAGGAAAGGATTTATATTCCTTGCAGTCATCTGGATGTTAGTACTCTGTCTGAGAGTCATTGAGGCCACTTGGAGATAAACCTCCACATGGCCTTAATAACAGAGGTGGTATTCAGCAGGTTCTGACCAGTTCTGGAGAACTGGTAGCAGAAATTTTTAGTAGTTTGGAGAACCAGCAAATTCCCACCTCTGACTGGAGATTTTACAGCATCCTTTCCCTGCCACGCCCACCAAACCATGCCCACAGAACTGGTAGTATTTTTTAAAAATCCCACCACTGCTTAATAACTCTCAGAAAGAGTTCTAATGATCAGGTGACTGCAAGGAATATCAATCCTTTCATTCCCCACCATTCAGTCAGAAATAATGAAGCTTCTTGGATGAGAAGTGAAATGTCTTCAAAGAAAAACAAAGAAAGTCCAGTTGCCTCTTGAAAAAAAGGACCTTTGGGACAACCATGACCTGGATGACTGAGAATCTTTATTAGACAAATAAATGAATGTATTTTCCTTGTTTGTCTGTTTAGACCTTGCCTTCTTCCAGATGTGTGGAAAGCTGCCATCCTGGTTTTCTCAAGGTAGTCCAGAGAGGACAGCCAGTTTGCTGCTATGACTGTGTTCCTTGTGCAAAGGGGACCATCTCCACTCAGAAAGGTGAATGGTTCCTGAAGGAAACAATTTTTCTTTCACAAAATGACAAACATTTGAATGTACTCAGCAGTATCTTTAAATATGTAATCCGTATTTATTTCATTTTTAAAATTCACAATCAGCTGCATAATATAAACAATAATAAAGGAAGTGGGGTAATGACCCTGGGCTTTGTGTTATGATTCCGGGTTTCAACAATCTACATGCAACCTTTACTCCTTAGCTAGTACAGGAATGTTAAACCGATTATGAAAAGTATTTTTTTAATAGAGAAAATATTGTATAAACAAATAAGCTATTTTTAGTGCTCTCAAAATAAACATTGTTCTCTTCAACCATCTTGCCTTGATGCCATTCTAATTTGTTCTTGTGCAACCCTGGTTCAGATTACATACATCTTCATTTAACGACCGCATAATCCCTTGTATCTCTTGTGTACTCTTGTATTGTTGCGGTTGAAGATGAAGTCGTCATTGATTGGTAGGACATTGTAGCAGATAATTTTGTGTACTATGTTTAAGTCCAACTGTAAGCGGCGTATTTCAAGGTTGTCCAAGCCCAAAATTTCAAGCCTGGTGATATAGGGTTAAAGTGTTATAGATAATGCTTAAAACTAACTTCTAGGTCCATTGTACAAAAATACCCATTAAATCTATCCAATGTTAAAACATTGTTTTTATTGTTTTGGGAGCCAAGGTGGCACAGTGGTTAGAATTTCAGGCAATAATGACAAGGTGCAAGGTTGACTCAACCTTCCTTTCTTCTGGAATTGATAAAATGAGAACCCAGATTGTTGGGGACAATATGCTGACATTGTAAATAGCCCAGAGAGTGCTGTAAAGCACTATGGGGCAGTATATAAGTCTAGTGTGCTGTATTCTATATTACCAAATTTGAGTATTCTTCTTTAGTTGTAATGTTTAGTATCATTTGTTTCCCTCTAATATTCAGTTTTTAAAGCCTTATTAGACAACTCATGTCCCATTCAATCATTGTTTCTAAGATATTTCCTGACCAGAGTCCTCAGTGTTTTCATTAATGACAGAGCTTCTATTTTTTTATTTTAAAAACAATTTTATTTACAAATTTAAAAACATACAATTTCAAAAATACAGAAACAATATAATTCTTTACATTTGTTGTTGAATTTGGTAAGTCCTTAAAATTATTATTGGCTAGTACTAATCACATCTTCACTCATTATCACATTCTAAGCAGTAAATAATTCACAATATACTCCGTTTAGTTTCACGTTGGTTTATAACTACTCTTCTATTAAGAATACATTCATGTTTTTTAACTAATAAACACAAAAAATATTGTAAATGGCTAATAATAATAGTAGTAACAGAGAAAAGAAGGTTTAAAGCCTTTAATTGTTTTTATGTACTTAATATATTATAAACCGCTAGATATAATTTGTATCTTAGGTTCATTTACATGTTTCCCCTTTTATTGTCTACCCATTTATACCATTTATCCCATATCTGGTAATAATCTGTATCCTCCTTCCCATTAATTTTAAGTTTAAGCGTCTCCAGTTGGGCACACTCATATGTTTTCTGAATAACAACTTGTATCGGTGGTGCATTTGGGTTTTTCCAATATTGTGCTAGTGAAATACGTGCCACAGTTAATAAATGGATGGTCAGATATTTTACTTTAGCGGGGTAGTCCCCTTTAATCATTCCCAACAAAACTAATTCCAGTTTCCACTCCAGCCCATGTTCTATAATTTCTTATATCCATGTTTTTATTTTTAACCAATGTTTCTTTATCTCACGACAAGTCCACCATGAATGAAAGTATGTACCAAATTTCCCTTTACATTTCCAACAGCAAGGATTGGCTGTCGGAAATATTTTGGCCAATCTAAAGGGTGCCAGATGACATCTGTACATCATTTTGTATAAATTCTCCTTATGTGTTACTGATTTGGTTAGTGTCAGTTTTTTCTTCTAGATTTCTTCCCAGGCATCCAGATCAATACTATAACCAAAGTTTTTTTCCCAAGTTAACATGGGACCTTTCACAATTTTCTCGGCCATTTCATATTCTGGTAAATAATTATATAATTTGGAAATATAACTTTTCTCAGGGTTTAAAAGTATTTTATCTAAATATGTATCTTTTACCTCAATTCCATATTCCTTTACGTCTTTGTTGTATCTCAGTTTTATTTGTAAATATGACAAATTATCAATAACTATCTCTTGTGATTCTAATTCCTGTTTCGTTTTAATTCTTCCCTCACTATCTAATATTTGGTAATATTTAAGTTTTTTTTCTGATGTCCATCGTGTTTGAGTGAAACATTGCCTCCATCGTAGAAAACCACCTCGGGATTTTAGTATGATTCTTTCTTATATCAGTCCAAACTTTAATTAAAGACTTTTGGAATACATGCCTAGTAAAATATAAATTATTTTTACTATTCGGGCTCCATAGAAATTCATGACAACTTAGCTGTAAATCATGTCCCTCCAATTGTAAAATCCTGTTATTCCTTAAATCAGTCCAATCTTTTATCCACACTAATGCCGCTGCTCTATAGTCTTATCCAGAAGCCTATGCAATGGCTACGCTGCGGTCGCCTTTTGGGGCAAGAACACATTGTAAAAATTGAGCAGCCCCAGAAATGCCTGCAGCTCTGTTTTGTTCTTGGGTGTGGGGGCTTCCTTGATGGCTTTGATTATTGCACAGGTATCTCTGGACACCTGCATAACTGGATAGAAGCATTTCTTCTGGTATACAGTGTGTCCTAGTGTGCCATCTGTTTTTTTTGTAGATTAGTACATCTAGGAATGGTAGTTGTTTGTTTGTTTCCGTTTCCATGGTGAACTTGATTTTGGGGGGTGTGCTGTGTCATTCTTCATGTTAGGTACTCGTTTATTCATGAGGGCGGGTTTCCAAATGGCTGGTAGGCGGGAGGTATCATCTCGTTTATTCATGCTGTGTGGGCGTTTTTCTATCTCTATGGCTGTTCTGTACAGTCATTTACATATTCGTAAGCGCCGCATTGCGATTGGCTAAAGCGCACGGCACCCGGATTGGTCGAGCAAGCCGCACTGATTGGCCCGTTGCGAATCCCCCGCGATTGGTGGAAACTAATCGCGGGAGATTCGAAGCGGTGCCATGGGCCGCGGCCGCCGCGGCCGCCGCGGCTTGGGAATAAAAGCCGCTGTTTTTCCCTACAAGTTTAAGCTGTTCACAGAGCACAATAAAGAGCTGAAACCAGTCACTGACTCCGAGCTTCCTTCCTGCGACGGACACGACTCCGGCGACGAAGGTGGGATCCAGAGAATAACCACCGAGCACGTGTCCCGAGGAAGCAAAGACTGACTAGATGGCCAGCATCACCCCGCCCGCGCCGTTCAATCTGGCTACTGAGGATTGGGAATCGTACACGGACCGATTCCTAATGTTCCTCGAGAGTAGCAACTTAAAGGATGCGAACGGGCAGAAGAAAAGAGCCATTTTCCTGACGCACTGCGGGCCCGCAGTGTTCAAGATGGCCAAAGCCCTCGCAAAGCCCGCGGACATGAAGGTGATGGACTGGGGCGATCTCGAGCCGTTACTCCGAAACCACTACGCCCCCGCCGTGCCCATCCTCATCCGGCGGGACGAATTCTACCGGCGGAACCAGAGGCAGGACGAGAGCGTCAGCGATTTCATGGCTGACCTGCGGGACCTAGGGGGCATGTGCGAGTTCCGAGACTTGGACGATGCCCTCCGAGACCGCGTGGTCCTAGGCCTCAGGGACCTGGCACTGAAGAGCCGACTGATGGCAAAGGGTGACATCGACCTCGCCGACGCCCTTGCAGAAGCCACCGCGGCCGAAGTAACCCGGAAATCAGCAGCCCGGCTTCGGAGAGCAGACAACGGGGACCGCACCGAAAACCCCGAGACGAGCCGACGAGAAACCACCACCCACCACGGGGACCTGAACTCCGCCTCTGACACCACGGAAGAGGAGGAGGACGTCCATCGGCTCCAGGCAGGACGGGACCGACGAGATCAACGAGGTCGTAAGTCGGGGCCCCAGTGCGCCGGGTGCGGGGGCAGCCACCCTCGATCAGAATGCCGTTTCATCGACGCGATCTGCCGGCATTGCAACAAGAGGGGCCACATCGCCCGAGTCTGCCAACTCCGGAAAACATACAGCCCCCGACGACGAGACCAGAGCAACCGGAGGCGAGACGACACACCCCCCAGATCCAGAGACCGCCAAGCCGAGAATCGCTGGAGCCGAGACGCCCGGGGGCGACGAAATGGGGAAGGCCGCCAGAGGGAGGAAACCCACCAGACAGTCACAATCAGTCACGCTGAAACCACCGATGCCCAAAAAGTCTACGTAGAAGTGGACATCGAGGGCGAGGATGGAGGTGGACTCCGGGTCCTACCTCTCCATGGTCGCCTGGAAAGAAATCAAGCGGCTGGTGCCAACCATCCAGAAAGAAGGGCTCGAGAACCAGAAGTTGGTGATTAAGGACTACCAGGGGAACCGCATCCCCGTAATCAGGACCGGACAGTTCGAAGTAACCTTCAAGGGCCGCACCGCAAAGCTTCCCCTGACGATCGTGGACCAAAACCGACCCAGCCTCTTAGGGCTCCAATGGTTCGCACCACTCGGCATCGAGCTTACGGGCAAACTCCCATGGAACTGAACCTTGGCAAATTTTATAAAACATTTTGTGACATAAATTTCAACATGGGCTATTTTCGAGGCAGATACTCTCTGCATGTATCCTAACTTTTCTAGTGAAGAGCACTTTAGAAGCTCTGTCATTCAGGGATGTCCGCTTTCACCTCTTCATTTTATAACTATTTTGGAAACTTTGCTGGACAGAATTAGAATTAGATTAAATAAGGAAATTAAAGGAATTAAAATTAAAAATCAAGAATATAAATAACAAGCCTTCGCAGATGATATGGTTTTTGTCATAGAAGACCCAATAGGCTCTGGACCAGCTCTACTAAATGAAATAGATAAATTCGGTAAATTAGCAGAATTAAAAATCAATAAGGAAAAAACCAAAATGCTAGTTAAAAACATAACAAATAGTAAACAAAAAAAATTGGAAGATAAGCCGGGATTACAAATTGTAAATAAAATTAAATATTTAGGAATCTGGTTAAGAGCTAGATCATTAAATCTGCGAGAGGATAATTATACCAAATTACTGAAACAGATTGAAAAGGACTTGGAAAATTGGAATAAAATGCAAATTTCATTATTAGGTAGAATCGCAACAATCAAAATGAATGTTCTACCTAAAATATTATATTTATTTCAAACAATTCCGATATTACTGGACAAAAAATTCTTTAAAGATTTAGATAAAATCGTGATGAAATTTATCTGGGCAAAGAAAAAAAAACGATAAAAAAAACTTATTTCCAAGATAATAAAAGCAGAGGTGGATTCAGACTACCTGTCTGGGAGACATCAAACAAAAGCATTGTCCCACAGGAAGGATTCTTTATAATTAATTCCAAAAACATATTTCAAGTTTATTTATATTATAAAGGATTAAGGGCCCTTAATCTGTTTGTAACTTTCTAAAAACAAAAATTTAATCTTCCTTTTGCTGGTTATTCAAAAGGAAAAGAGTAAGTCCTTAAAACTTCTTTAACTAAAGATTGAAGACAACTCATCTGATGCTGTAAAATCTATTGATTCAAAAATTCCTAGTTGAAAAGCTGATAATAATTTCAAAAGTGATTAGAAAAGGAAGTATATGAACCCAGATTCCAATTGTAGGAAGAGTAGGTTGTCTCATCCCACAAAGCTCTAAACTCACTGGAGAGAGTTTCTTGCAGTCTCCTTAAGAGGAGCACTTGTGGGTGATCTCTTCTCTTTGTCCAGAGAGCAATTACTGGAGAGCCAGTCTATTAACAAGGGCTTCATTCTGCCTATAATTGTCAAATTGCTCTTTTTTCTGCACCTTTTATTTTTATTTTTATTCTTTTTTTACTTTGTATTGTTTAGATTGCAAATGTTATTATTTTAATTATTTAAAAAATGATGAATAAAGCAGATATTCCTTTTCTTTGCAGATGCAGTCCACTGCACCAGATGTTTGGAAGATCAGCATCCAAATGAAAGGCAAGATCGCTGTATTCCAAAATACATCACCTTCTTGTCATATAATGAATATTTGGGGATCATCCTGACTTCCTTTGCTCTATTTTTGTCATTCATCACAACCCTTATATTCGCAATTTTCATAAAATATCATGAAACTCCAATAGTTAAAGCCAATAATCAGGATCTCTCCTACATTCTCCTGACTGCACTCCTCCTTTCATTTCTCACCAGCTTCCTCTTCATTGGCAGGCCAAAGAAAGCTACCTGTCTTCTCCGACAAACAGCCTTCTTCATTGTTTTCTCAGTGGCTGTTTCTTCCCTCTTAGCCAAAACCATTACAGTGGTGCTGGCCTTCTTGGCAACAAAGCCAGGGAACAGAATCAGGAGGTGGCTTGGAAAGATGTTGGGCAATGCTCTTGTTCTTGCTTGCTCTGCTGTCCAAGTTCTGATTTGCTCCATCTGGCTGGGAATCTTTCCTCCCTTTCCTGACACAGACAAGCATTCTCACCCTGCAGAGATTGTCCTTCAGTGCAATGAAGGACCTGCTGTCATGTTTTACTCTGCCCTGGGATATATGGGCTTGCTGGCTGTTGTCTGCTTCACAGTGGCTTTCCTGGCCCGAAGGTTACCTGGGGCCTTCAACGAAGCCAAACTGATCACCTTCAGCATGCTGGTCTTCTGTAGTGTTTGGGTTTCCTTTGTGCCCACCTATCTGAGCACCAAGGGTAAATATATGGTGGCTGTGCAGATCTTCTCCATTTTGGCCTCCAGTGCTGGGCTGCTGGGCTGCATCTTTTTCCCCAAGTGCTACATTATTTTGCTGAGGCCAGAGCTGAATACAAAGGAGCAGCTAACCACACAGATCAAAGTATAGATTGATTGTGTATATCTGGGCAACCCCCCAGCCCAAATTGCTTATTTTCTCTCATTCTCAGTCCACCTTCACTCCAGAGTTTCACATCAATATGATTATGAATGTTTATAAGGAAATCAGGTGCCATTAATTAAAATAAGTGGTACAATAGTTAAATTGCAGTATTGCTAGCAAACTCTGCCCACAGCCTGCAGTTCGATTCTCATTGGCTCAAGATTGACTCACTGGCTCAGCCTTCCATCCTTCCGAGATTGATAAAATGAGGACCCAGATTGTCAGGGCAATGTGCAAAATAATGCTTCCATTTTAAACTGCCCAGAGAATGCTGTAAAATAATATAGAGTAGTATATAAGCCTATAACACTGTTGCAGGATCCAATCTGGGTTGATCACTGGGACCAGAGGTTTAATCTTCCAAGCTTTCAGACATCTGCTGGAGCCCATCCTTAGGGATCTTCCCTCTCACCAGAATATCCTGGAACACGTATATTTGCCTTCATTCCTAAAATACTGTTAATGTAGATGTTTATACATGTATATGTATCTTTCAATATATGTTGTTCCTTTTTTTGTTGCCTTATAATTATGTGTATCGTTTGTATTTTCTTTTTAAAACATTCACCTATTCAATTAATAAAACAAAAGTAGAGTTTATCAGATTATTAGTATTATGAGGACCAAACAGTTACAATTGTAGTTGCTCCTCACAAGAGTGGAATAGGCAACAGTTGAAGAAACAGGTGGCATAAGAAAACAGACCCAGAGGAGTTCCAGGATTTAATTTCATTTGGAAAAGATATGCTAGAAGTTTGGTTGGAGATCTGGTGTCCATAAGAGGAATTGGAAGAAGAAAGATGGTGGATACAGTGTGGCATTCACATACAAAAAAAGGAGGGCAAGCATTGTGATAGATGTTAATATCTTGCCTATTTTGACTTTTCTTTTGAGATTAGGCATTTAAGCTGGGTGGAGCTTTATATGTCAAATACCCTTGCTTTGAATGGTACCCAGAATCCTTTTGATACACAATATGCAAAATTGTTGATATGCATTGTTGATATACTGCTAATAGCATTTTCCTTCCCAGCAGCCTGGCAGCTGCATTTTGAACCAGCTGCAGCTTCCAAAACTATTTCAAAGATATCCACATCAGTATTGCATTACCATAGTCCAGACCAGGAGTGTCAAACTCAAGGCCCATGGGCCGGATCTGACCCATGGGGTGCTTAGATCTGGCCCGTGGGGCCACCCTGGAAACAGTGAAGCACTGGCCAATGGTGCCTCTGCCAGCGAAAACAGAACTTGGGAGGGCCATATGCAGGAGCCGTTGCAGCTGGAAAATGCTCAGGCCACCACAGGCGCCCCTGACATGAGTGACATTGAGCTGGCCACACCTACCCTGGCCATGCCCACCTTGTCCCCCTGAAGTCAAACACAACTCTGATGCGTCCCTCAATGAAATCGAGTTTGACACCCCTGGTGTAGACATATGATGTTAAGGACATGAGTTCTCCGTGTAAGGCAGGGGTCCCCAACCACCGGTCCCCCGACCGGTACTGGTCCGTGGACCATTTTTTACCGGGCTGCAAAGCTTGGGCGCCGCGAGGGGGAGAGAAGGAGAAAAGAGCGCTGTGGTATGCCCAGCGCTAGTCTCCCTTTTCCTCGCCTTCTCCTTCTCCCCCGTCAACCACGCACACGCACGCGCGCAGATAAAGCTGTTGCTGTTGCTGCTGCACCACGACCCGGAGGAACAGATTGAGCACAGGCACTGAAGGAGCGCCACGGCGTCTGTCGCCAGAGCGCAAAGAAGCAGCAGCAGCTGCGGCAGTGGCTGCGCCTCCGACTTTTCCGGGGAAGGTCATTCCCTGACCAGTCGCGCTTCCCGGCCCACACTTGCACCCCCCGCCCCCCCGCCCCCACTTCCTCGCAGGTGGAGGCGGGAAGCTGCGAGGAATTCGGGCGTGCTTTCTAGCCGGCTATGCCAAGTCTTTTTTTTTTTTTGCCCGAGGCTGGAAAGAAGAAGGGTGACAGGTCACTGAGGAAGGTGAGAGAGACTGAGAAGGGAGAGAGAAGCCCAGCTAAAGCAGCTCCGCGCTGCTTTAGGGACTAGTAGTAGAAGGTACCGGTCCGTGGAAGAATAAATAATCGTAAAACCGGTCCCTGGTTCAAAAAAGGTTGGGGGCCACTGGTGTAAGGGGATGACTAATCCAGAAATGGATAAGAGAAGGCCTATTCTTTCACAAAGAAAGCAACTTTTTCTCAGAACTGGAAGAGAGAAATGTGTTTTGCCTACCTATTTATTTGTTAGATTCATATGCTGCCTTTCTTGCTCAGTTGTATCCAAACAGCTTTTGGGGCCGTGGATTTGTCCACCTCTGTGGTGGTAGATCAATGTGGCCCTTGGTTAGCAGAAGCTTCCCAGAAGATGACCTGTGGGTAGGGTCTGGTGGAGAAGAATGCATCCTTGATGAGGGATGGATTTGTTGATGCTTAAAGTCAGTAGTCCATAAAAGAGCCATGGTGGTGCAGTGGTTAGAGTTACAGTGGTCAGCTACTTCTGCTGATTGCTGGCTGCCAGCAGTTTGGCTGTTTGAATCTCAGCAGGCTCAAGGTTGAGTCAGCCTTCCATCCTTCTGAGGAAGGTAAAATGAGGACCCAGATTGCTGGGGGAAATAGGCTGCCTCTATAAACTGCTTAAAGAGGGCTGTGAAGCACCATGAAGCGGTATATAAGTCTAAATGCTATTGATATTCTCTTCTGAAAGCTTATTTTCCATCATCTCATTTCAAAATGACTCAAAATAGCAATAGTGCTTAGACTTATATACTGCTTTAATAGTGCTTTCCAGCCCTCTCTAAGCAATTTTACAGAGTCAGCCTATTGCCCCCAAGAATCTGGTTCCTCATTTTACCCACCTCGGAAGGATGGAAGGCTGAGTTCAACCTTAAGCCTGGTGAGATTCGAACTGCCAAACTGCAGGTGATCAGCAGAAGTAGCCTGCAGTACTGCACTCTAACCACTGCACCACCATGGCTCTTGATATAATCCCTGATCTAAGATTCTGGTTGTCAACTACAAAGTTCTACATAGCACCCTTTTCTCCACCTGTCTCTAGAAGTTGCATCAGGACAAGCAGAAAGGGCATTTTATAGGTTCCATATCTTAAGAAATGTGATCTAGTGAACCCAGAAGCTTGGTTTTTCTGTTGCTGTGCCTAACTTTGGGAATCAGAATATCTCCCAAAAGTAGGTAGGTGCCAACATTTCTGATCATTCAGAAGGTTCCTAAACCTGACTGTTCCCTCAGTCATGGGGTCAGAAATTTAAGTAGGCCTATACATTTTGGTGTGAAGGGCATTTTCTGACACATATATAGTTATTTTATTATTATGGTGATGCTTTTATATTGCTTCAGTACCAAGGTGGTTTATGTGAGATGGGCAGCCATATAAATCAAATTAACCAATAGATCAATAAAACCATCTTTGCAGCTTTGATATGGACTCACAATCAAGTGGAGAAAAGTCCACAGGCTTGATTTCTCCATAATTTCTGACAAAAAAAGTTTCACTGGAGAAAGTTTGGTCCATGAGTTTCCAGATACTTCCAGAACTACATCAGAGGATTCTCACCAACATGTTTTCCTTCCTTGTTCCCTTCTTCATGAACTCACAGGACAAGCCTGGAGACAGAGAGAGTCCAGGGAATGCCTCTTCTCTTTATTATTATCAACATCACATTGATTTATTGACTGCCTTCCAATCTCACCCCCAGGGAATTCTCCAAAGTTCACTGTCGAGTTGACATAAACATCAACATTCAAGAGCAATGCAGGAGGCATCAGAGCTTGGAAACCTGGGGACATAAAAGACTTTGGTATCATTGAGTAATTATTATTCTGTGCTTTAAACCTTGAAACTTTTCAGATGAATTTCTTGTGGACTCCAACCTCCAGCTGTGGCAGGAAAGCCACAACAGTAGTTGTGATATTGCAAGGGCCTTTTGCCTTCGTGAACTGCTCCTCCAATTCTTTGAGAGCCACCTGACTCTGCAAGAAGTAGAAATGGTTCTATTATTTCTCCTGATGCTTCTGTTCTCCCAGATACCCTGCAAGATGTTGAATGCCAAGTGCCCCTTAACTTTAGAAAGGGATGAGACAGATCCATTGAATTACTTCAAGCCAGGAGACTACCTCATTACTGGAATCACTCCTGCGACAACCACCATGTTTCGACCATTCACTTTCAAAAAGGCTCCAACCAACAAAGTTTTATGGTAAGAGAGCATTTCCCGCTTGGATTACTGCTGGTTCCAAAAGTTGTAGATGTTTCCTGACACACACACCACACACACACACACACACACACACACACACACACACACACACACGCACGCACACACCCCAATGAAGAAAAGCCTTCCTTTATGAACTATCTCTTTTAGCCAGATCACTGGAGACAGAGGTTTTGGACTGAATGAAAACCAAAGCACCTCTCAATGTCCACCATGTCATTTCAGCCTCTAGCTCCTTAGCTTCTAGAATGCAAGATATTTTGCTAATCCTTCACTTCAGGAAAAAAAAATCTTTATTTATTTATTTTATACATTTGATTTGTTAATCGCTTAGAAGATAATAGGTATAAGTATAAACATAGTTATGAATACATGAAATGGTACATTTAAGAAAAAGAAAAAGAAAAATAGAACAGGGATGGTAGGCACGTTGGTGCGCTTATGCACCAACTTCTGTTTTTTTCCCTTTTTTCTCCCTCCAATTCTGGGAAGAGTAGTTGAATAAAGGGGAAATTCAGGGAACTTGCCATCCATGAAGGAATCTCACTTGGATTTGTTCTCTTTTGTGTCTGGGACACGACTAGGACAGGCCAGTTGGCTCAGGGGATATATTTGTTTTCAGATCCTGCGTTTTCCTGCTGTTTCTCCTTCTCCTTGAGGCACAGTATTGCCAAAAGCACACCATCCAAAAAAGTGCTCCAGAAATGC